CACTGCCCAGCCTCCCCTATTCAGCAATATCTAGTACTATTTATAAAAATGTGAGAACATCCTGATAAACTTCCTCTATCACATATGAAGATCAGGGACCCAGTGAGCAGGATAGAGAGGGTGAAACGGGGACCCCAGAGGCAATTCCCACTTTTAACAGAGCCGAGGTGGCGCAGTGGTTAAATGCGGCACTGTAGGCTACTTCAGCTGACTGCAGTTCTGCAATTCGGCTGTTCAAATCTCACCGGCTCAGGGTTGACTCAGCCTTCCATTCTTCCGAGGTGGGTAAAATGAGGACCCGGATTGTTGATGGGGGCGATATGCTAACTCTGTAAACCGCTTAGAGAGGGCTGAAAGCCCTATGAAGCGGTATATAAGTCTAACTGCTATTGCTAACTCAGGTGAACTGGCTAATTCAACAAGTTAGCCTCACAATGCTCAACATCAAACTCACCAGACATTTGGACTGCTTTTCAAAATATTCAGTGCAGCTTCGGCAGCTCTGTGTTTTGCAATCTTTTTGCTGGAACCCTGTCCTGAAGCAATAGAAACATTAAGATATTTCTCTGTTCAAAGCAGAGTAACAATAAAGATCTCAACATCTGAATTTCAAACAATAATTTGCTGTTAGTATTTTGTCTGGGAAGGAAAAATAGAGAGGCTTATAGTCAAGTAATCATCATGCACTGAATTACATTCATTTTTCAAAATATTAAAATGTAAATTCACTCTCCTGATCACCCAGAGACATGGTCAATTTGATTTTTCCAGGGGAACAAAATAGCCAATTACATTTGACAGTATATAACAAGGTTCAGAAAAAACCCACACAGAATTTGTATCTATACAGTGTTTTATCAGCGTTAAGGTGACATCAAAAGTGATTAAGCTAGGAAGGACAACAGGATATCAGGACAAACCTTGGCCCTTTGGGCTCTGAAAGTGAATTAAAGGGGACAGAATGGAAAGAGGAAAGCAATGAGAAATGTTTGAACTAAGAATAGAAGGAAATAAATGCAGGGGGAGGGAAGAATGCCCCTCTATTGCACAGCATTAGCTGCTGCCTAGAAGATAGTGGTGATGAGATAAACCTTCAATAAAGTCAGGATTCATCCTTTAAACGGTGTCTCAACCTTGGCAACTTGAAGATGTATGGGGTTCAATTCCCAGAATTCCTCAGCCAGCCATGGCTGGCTAGGGAATTCTGGGAGTTGAAGTCCACTTGTCTTCAAATTGCCAAAGTCCGAGAAAGGCTGCTCTAAATCCAACTCATTAAATTAAATTTTAAAATGACTGCCTTTCACACAGATTTTTTTTTTGGGGGGGGGGGCATAGCCTTGGAAAGATAGCCATGGTGTGAGATACGTTCTTTGCCGTGACCCGTCAAAACCGCGGTCCACAAAAGCACGCTCGACGAAAGCGCGCATTTGACGTCATCACACCGCGATGAAAAAAATTAAAAACCCCGCTTGGGTTTTGACGTGTTGAGATTCCGTCGGGTCCGATTTTCGGCCGAGTGCGCTTTTGTCTACCGCGGTTTTGT